TTATTTTTCACCCACAGGTCTCCACTTGCTCCAGCTCCAGCTCTTTCCTCTGTTGAGCCACTTTTGTGCCGTCATCAGCAATCAGCTGGGTGTGCATCTAGGTCCTCTGTCCTGTCCCACTGCTCTGTGCATCTCTGCCAGTGCCCACTGTCTTGACTACTGCCACTTATTATGGAGAGCCTTTTGCACTGTGAACCCTGCGAATAGAAATGTGTCTCCTGTTCAAATGTGAGGACGTCGGGCGAGGGGTGTTCTCTCCTTGGGCTTCTGCACTGCCCTTGAAGAGCTTCCACTGAGAAGAGAATTCCCATGGAGAGCAGCCTCTGAGGATGGTCCAAGCTCAGTTGCACACGTGCTCCTATGTTTACCTCTGGAAAGGCAGTGGCTGAAGGCAAGGAAGGAGGCATTTCCCATCATAGAGCAGTGAGTCGAGAGCGGATTAGAGCCCACAACCCTGCAGCTTTGTTCATGGCTCCATCGATATTTCCAGGACCTCAGTCAGTGTTTATCCTCCCTGGACAATCATGTAAATGAGATTCATTAAATAAATGCATTTCCTGAGCTTCTCTGGGTGGTTTGCCATTTCTGTAGATCAAAGCTACAGGGACCAGTCCTCGGTGCCTTTGAGTCGACACACTGGATTGGCTGTGTTTCAGAAAGTCCAGAAAAATTAAAACATGGGTGCTGGCATCTGCCTGTCGTGTCACTCCTCACAGTGTGCTCAGTGAACCTCGGTCACACTTGCTGTCTGCCAAGATGCAGACGCTTGCCAAACACTGACCCTGACCATTACCATCTCTGTGTGGAGCCAAAGGGCCATCCACTGCGGACACACTGCTCCCCACTCAGGGGAAGTGGGACCACCCTGGGCTTGAGCCCCTGAGATTAGAATCTCCAGAAGAGTTTTCAAAGCCCCATGCCCAGGCTGCCCCTAAGGTCACTCCATCAGACCCCAATGGGACCCAGGTAACTGCATGTGTTAGAGCCCCAGGTGCTCCAATGTGCAGGCAAATCCGGAAGGCACCAACTGGGGTTCCCAGGGACAGAGAGATCACTTGGGGAAGGTGTGAACAATGCACTTAGCAGAGGGAGGACGTCACAGTGAATTCTAGACAGGACAAGGACAAGAGCACAGGGACCTCGTTAGTTTCCTATGGCTGCTGGACAAGGTGCCACAAACCTGGTGGCTTAAAACAACAGAAATTAATTCTCTAGCAGCCTAGGAAGCCAAAAGGCCAAGATCCAGGTTTCAGCATGGCTGGCTGTCATGGAACACTACAGGGGCCCATCAACTCCTGCCTGAGGCTCCCCCAAATTTGATACTGGTCATACAGGTCCAGCTTCCTGCCCCCAGGCAAAAACCAATAAAAGTCAAATGTTGGTGAAAATGGAAGTCAGCTTTTATTTATGAGCACCGGTGACCTGAGGAGAGATGTTGGGCTGACCCTTCTCTCCGGTAAACCTGAAGAAGAATGGCCAGACTAAAGCCATCTCCAAGAGTTACGTTTACTGAGGGGATTTTAAAGAGGGGGCTGAGGGAGTGGAACGTGGGAAATGAAAACAGGAGGGAGGGGACGTGAGCTTCAGAGGCTTCGTGCAGGGAGCCAGGTGCAAGGTCTCCCCGCGGCTCGGTCTGGTTTCTGCTCCCATCCTTGCTGTTGTCTCAGGTCCTGCTGGAGGGTGCAGTCAGCACAGCTTTACTGACAGCCTCCTTGGTTTCCCAGGTCTGGATGGTATATGCAAGTCTGCAGCTCCAGGCTGGCTGGAAAACAACTTTACATTCATATAAATAATGTCAAGTTGCCCCATAACCAAGGTTCAAAATATCAAATAACCATGGGAAAAGAGGGAACTCAGAGAAATGCATGCCAAGAAAAAACTGTGTCCTTTTAAAATTTGCCTACAGCCCATGTGCTTTTAGGTCCCTGCTCACTCCAACAGGAAGGCTCTAGAGGAGGACCCTCCTGCCTCTTCCAGCTTCCAATGGCTCAGATGTCCCTTGGCTTGTGGTAGCATCTCTCTCTGCTTTGTCCTCATGTGGCTTCTCCTCCACGTGTTTGTCTCTGATTTCCTCCTGCCTCCTTCTTATAAGGACACATGTGTAGCATTTAGGGCCCATCCAGATAATCCAGGAAAAGATCCTCCTCTCAAGATCCTTAACTTAATCACATATTTTGCCATATAAGGAAAAACTCAGCACTTTGATATATAAGGTAATATACATAGGTTCCAGGGATTGAGACTTGGATGTATCTTTTGGAGCCACCATTCATTCCCTCTAATACCCTAGCTGCTCCTTGGGGAGCCTGAGCTTACCACCAGGACTGGTACAAGGGAACTCAGCAGGGGAGGGCAGGAAAGACCACCAGCCAGCTTAGCTGGGGCAGGATCATGGAGGCCTTAAATTCCCAGCTGAGGAGTTTGTGCTACTTGATAAGCAAAGGGCAGACAGAAGGCAAGACCCAAGGGCTGCCTGGGGTGGGCAGGGGGTCCCCAAAGGACTTAGGCTTCATCCTCACCAAGGATCACAGTCATCCACGGCCTTAGGGCATGCCACCAGGACTGGAGGAAGACAGGCGTCTCCTGACGCCTTGAAACTTAACCCACTAGCCACACGCACCATGAAGTAATATTTTAAATAAATCCTGTAATTTTATTTTGAATAGCGTAATTAGGTTGTGTTGTATTGTTATGAGCTTAAAGTCAATTCATTAAACATAAACACTGTATGCCACAATTTCTGAAATCCTGTGTTGGATTGTGGTGTTTTTTTAAGGAAACTAGGGACAAAAAAATGGATGCATCGCCTCTGAGAAGCCCTGCCAGACCCCATCCCACAGGGTTTGTTTCCGTCACTGAAGGTCCTCGAAGGCCCCAGGAGGTAAAGATGATGAAGCCCGTGTGATCCAGAGCAGCTCATTTCCTGACACCAAGAGGCTCAGATCCTCTCCACCATTTTATCTTAAATCATCTCCCCCCACAAAAAATGGGATGTGACTGGGCTTGAAGCCACATAATTGAATATTTATGGAGCAAAGCAGGAACAGCCATGCTCTGTCCACTCATCGGTGATTGATTGTGTAACAGAGTGAGCCTAACCTATAAAATGTGGGCTCAAGGATGCTTCCAGTGCAGGAGATCCTGCTTTCCCGTCCTGGCCGAGCCTGCTATTTTGTGGCCGTCTCTGCCTAGTGTGGATTCCATCACAAAGCTCACTCTTTGGCTAGCTCCTAATTGCTTCATTATTAACCTGCATTACGCCCTGTACTTTGGAAAGTACTTTCACAAACATGACCTCATTTTGGCTGGATGACAACCCCATGGGGAGAGCCGGGTAGATGGATCTCTCTCTAGTCCAACTCCTGTCTCCCCCTCTCTCTCTCCAGACACCCAGGGAGGGATGAAGGTTGAACAATGAGGTCCTCCCTGGTTTCTGCTTCACTAGCTAAGAGTCCCTAAGTTACTAACAAGTTGTCCTGGACAAGAACACCCACCAGCATTTGCTGTCTCGGGCACTTCCTGGCCGGGGCGTTTCTCTGCAGATCCCAGAGGAAGGCACTGGTTTAGGAGTCTCTTGTGTGCGGGGTCTCACCTGGTATTTAGTGTCTCTATGAACTTCTCCCATTTGCAGCAAAAAATTGAGCCACCACCTGTTCCAGCAAATGCTCCTGTAGGAACCAGCACAAAATCAGGTGCATTTCCTGAGTCAGGCAAGGAATGGAGAACTGTGGAAAAGAGCTTCTTGCACCTAAAGCAGACAGAGGAAAGAGGGTGGCCACCTGCTTCCCGGGTGGCTGGACCCTGCAATTCGTCTCATCCAATGACACCCCCATCCTCTACATTTACAGGAAGGGCATGGCTGAGGGAGGATCAGCACGTGAATGACAGCTGGGAACAGGCAGGATGGGGTAGGAAAATGTCTCTTCCCTTTCCTTTCTTTGTCTCCTCGTCCTGGATGTCTGGTGGCATGTCTCCAGCTGCACCCTCCCACCTTCCTTGCACACCCCGAGCCCCAACATCACCTCTCCATCCCCGGAGACCAGAAGCTTCGTTCCTTCATTCTTGCTGATCCCAGGGTGAGGAAATCAACCTGCGTGCAAAGT